ATTTTCCAACGTAAATTCTTTCTAAACCGCTCTAGCGCTAAAAATGGCTAGACTAAATTAGTACTTAATTAGCACTTATTTCTTCACTGAGAGAAGTTATCTGATAAAAACAACCTGAAAAGTTATCTGATAAAATTAACAAGCGGATATTTCTGATCAATTCATATATCCGATCAGGATATCCGATTAAATTTTACCTGATATTTCTGATCATAATTGCATTTCATCAGATAAACCAATGAAAAAATTATGAATATTTCTCATCGGATGTTTTCTGATCGGATACAAAAATTCATCAATATTTTGATCGGAAATATTTGTTTATTAATTTTTTATCAGATAATTTCTCTCAATGCTGTATAATTTCTATGGCGATTTAACTTGCCAGTTAGGATTGCCAGTTTAACAGAGGTCAGGAAACCCTCGAGAAGACGCCTGTCGGCGCCAATGCATGCTGCATGTTTCTCCGTTACGCATCTTTCATCTCTCTCCACTTTCGCCTCCCTCATACAGATTACAGGCTGATTGAAATCGATCCTCTTAGTTTATTTGATCGGTCAATCAGCTTTTCCGCAACGTACTACTATATTACTGTAAATATTCGTGACACTGTATAATGCTTAATAAATATAGACGATCATATATAATTAGTTAACGGAATTAATCTGTCACAAGTGAGAGAGACGATGGAACTTTTTCACAGAATATAATATATATATATATATACACACACATTGGAATAATATATTTTTATTAAATAATAAATTTATTAACTATGAATACTAAGATCATAGATTAAAGTAATAAATTAATTTAATTACAAGTATGAATAATAGCATGTAATGGAAATCTCCTATATAATATCCGAGGATCAAGCGCTGCTTCACCCCACATCCATGTTTAACGCGATGTCGATCACTGGCTATATTTCGCCGGCCGATTACCGACGTTAATTCGCAATTATTATAATTCTCGACGGCGTCGCGTCGCTTCCGCGTGCGCGCGCGCGTGATGCGTTTCTCCACCCCGACGCGTCCCTCCGTTCTTTCCGCCTCTCGAACCCCGGGGACGGTGATCACAATGGAAATGTTAAGCGAGTCGTGGATTCGCAACGCTCGTCACTCTCGTTTGGCATTGGACGAACGGGCCTCGTGTCTGCGGACGTCAATTTGTGAGACTGGAACGTCGAGGGGGTCGGTGGGATTGATCTCGCTCTCTCTTTCTTCTTGTACCTTGCGAATAAAGCCTCTCTCTCTCTTTCCCTCTCTCTGTCCTCTCTTCTGTATTCCTCTTTCTCTCTCTCTCTATCTGTCTATCCATCTATTTATCTATCTCCCTCTATCTAGTTGCGTGAATAGCTACTGCGTCTGCTCTGCGCGCGTTACGATAGCCGGCGACCGTGGTGGTTGAAATCAAAACACCCCAGCGGCTGTCCGTCGATTATTATCGTTCGCACGCACCGCTCGCGCGATTATGACAATCGCCCGAGCGACTTTTGACGGCACGCCTAATTCGATACTCAAATTTCGTCCCCGATCAAATCTCTGAGTTAAAAGCAGTGTATACCCTTATGGGCCACTTGCGAGGACGTTTTGACGTGTGTTCGCTTGGCATCGCGTTTTATATGTGCCGCGGATAATATATATTTAATTTTCATTTGTATATTTGGAACAATTGTGCGGATAATAGACACTTTTTCTCACCTCTTTATTTCAAATTAAGAGACGTAAATTAAGAGATATAATTGTTTTTCTTTCGCGATCCCTTATTTATTGTTCTCTATCTCTAATTCATAATTGTTTTTTTATTTTTAATCCATCACTTAACTCTCATCCTTATTATCTATATATTTGTACTTCTTTTTTTAATTATATTATTAATATTATTATTTTAGAATCTTTATTTTTTATCATGTTATTATTTTATTTATCTTAACCTATATGTTGTGTAGTTGTTATCATCATCATCATTTAATTCTGTTACTTGTATTAATTAAATTGTGGCAATAGGAACCGAAGATTCTTTAGAAGACATTATTACGCATGAAAGATTTTCTTTTAATTAAGAAAGCGTCTTTCAATTAAAAATATATTTACTAGTTATCTAGCATATTATAGAGAACCCATTCTATTTTCCCGAAAGACTCCAAAGATTATGCACAAGTGCATTTGAACTCGGCGATTCAATTATATCCTCTTTCGCACAATTATACCCAGACAGCGCTTAATATGAAAAATCTTCCCATATTAAGAGAAACGCGGATTATTAAATAAATCAACCGTAACGAGATGCTCGTGGACGAGGCGAGTGATATCGTCGAGAAGAGAGAGCTTACGTAAATTTGTCAGGAAAGCATTAGGAGATCTCCCCTTGTTAGTTTCTCCTTCGTGATTCTCCGCGGCTGCGGATTCAACCCCCTCGAAAAATAATCTTTTTCTCTCGTTCTCTCTCCTCGTCTATCTCGCTCGCACCCTTTCTCTCTTTTCGCCGACGCCCGCTGCGGACGTCAAAATATGACAGCTCTCTCGAGTCACCACTTTCACGACAAGAGTTACGTCACGGGGGGTTGCCGCGGCCGATCATTAAAGTAAAGGCGCGTTCGTGACTCCACTACGTAGCACAGATACACTTAAGTCTATGTCGGAACGATTTGCTATCAATGAAATTAATTACAGCTTGGTGCATCTGGAATCACGATAAATGTTACGCATTGAATGTTAATTAATCAGTATTTAACATTAAATGTAACAATCAAACTTCTCGGGTAACGTTCATATTTGTAGTACAACGCTTATTTATATCTTGAAATCGTTATTGTTTTATCATTTTCAAACCTAGCTGGCGCATTTAAACGATCGCACAGTTTCATTAATGAATTTAAAGTACGTATAACTAAGTTGTTACTTAATAAGCTTGATATTTACGCGTTTAACTATTTGTTATAATCTTTCTACGGCGCCAGACGTGTTATTTTACGGTTTTCTTATACAAATCTAAATATATAGGAGGGTTGATAATCACTGGCGCGCTCCGCTAAGCTGACGGAAGCGGTAAATGGTTCGCAACCAACCCCCTCGACGAGACGCTAATTCATATTCATAGATGTAGCGTTTAGCATTACGCCGTTAAATTCCCTGGAGAGTTAGTTAAGAGACGGAGTGGCTAATATTTCTATTCGTATGTCCGTTTGTCGAGAAAGCAGAGAGGGTTCCTTTTATCCTTTTTTTCATTCTTTTTCTTGATTGGTTATTCAAACATTAGTTTCTTGCAATTTGAAATAAAATAAAGAGTCATAGTAAATTTTGGAATATCATAATTTTACAAGCATACCGCTAACGGCGACAGTTAAAATAGTTATTCATCGATATCGTAAAAGTTGATAGTTAATATTACATATCTATTTGTTAGATCTGTGCAATTATTTCTTAGCTTCAAGCGATTGAAATAGTTATGTTAAAGTTGAGAGAAGATTAAAGAATATTTTATATATAAGCAAAAGAAAAATAAACAAAAGATACATAATTTTCGTAGTTAATTCATATTTGTCATTAATTGCTACTATGATATTTATTTGTCCCCATTAGTGACAGTCTGAATAAACATGACCCAAAATAATATAAAATAATATAAACATTCCTATTTTTAAAAAGAAATGTAGTTTGTAAATTTTATTTATTATAGAGTTGAGAAATAACATTAATATCATAACTTTTCAGAAATTATTAAATAGTTCCACGGAATCATCAAAAAATTTATTTTCAGGCCGTTAGTAAAACAAATTTCTAATTTGCCAACAGTCGGTAAATAAAAATTTTTTTATGATTTTACGCAACTGGATAGTATTAACCATTTTTTAAAATTTGTATTTTTACTCGGCGGAAGCATTTTCAATTCAATATATTCAATTGTTGATCCCTTTTTGTCAAAAAGACACTTTATAGCATTCTACGAACATTTCTCCTGATTCATCACAAAAACAAAAATGTCACAGATACAAGGTGATTTTATGCATATCTTAGTCAGGCGAAGTCGAATGCTTTTACCTTTTTTGCAGCTCTCTGCGAGATTTCCATTATGACTCTTGCAGAACCTTAAATATTTTCACCCACGCAGTACTAACTTGAAAAGAAAAAAATATCCGATTGGAAAAGAGCAGTATTTGTCAATGTCAGTTGTTGCAGTATTTTCTTTCATTTTTCATTTCGTGCAAGCGTTATTTATACAATATATTTAAACAATACAGTTTTGTTTTCTTTATATTTCATTTATGTTTTTATTCGTATTTATACCCACAGTTACAAAAAAGTTTTACAAAAAATCGATGTCGGTAATCGAACTCGAGCCGGCGACTTGACAGTCCACTATTGTAGTTAATCCGTTGCCTTAATTCGATAGAAATTTCCCTTGCAGACTGATACACTTTCGTCGCTTATTCTTTGAAGCCGTTTCTCTCGAAAACGGCTAAAAGTTGGATATTAGTCCTTCACTATGTTTTAGCACTATATAGATAGAAATGCGTAATAATTGTTTCATCACAATGTGACTTCATACTATGACTTCAGCTTGATACTTTTTCAAAGATCATTACGTGATTTCATGACATGAGCACCAGATGCACACAAATGATGTACAAATTATATTTGTAAGTTCTTGACGTGATGTTGATTATTATTATTAAATGAGATATTTTTCTGACATCATGACATAAACGATATCTGAGCTACATATGGGCCTGCATCGATGTATATTTTTGCCCTCATATTTTGAAGATACGAGCATAATATGAGCTCAGAATGAACACATTTTGCTATCTGAGTAATTACAAAAACTACTATTAGAAATAAATTTCGTTTCAATCCGTTTCCTAGTCTTCGCGCCATTCTCTTGCAAATAGAATTCGAATCTTGGCTAAGTAATCTGACAATTTAGACCAAAGATCTATGAGATTTTTTAAAGGGGCATATATCTTTTTTTCTCGGATTAGAAAAAATGCGAGATGCTATCTGGGCATCTACATTCTATTATCACAGTTCAACAAAAAAAGATTCACAACACCAACTCCAAAGACTCCAAATTGTAGTGTGAGTGGTAACAGACCAAAGCCAATGGCATTTTAGACAGAGAGATACGCTAATAGTTTTAAAATCTTATCTGAAGAAAAGCCTTGGTGATAAATATATGGATGTCAATCAAATCATCAAGTGATATCCTGATGATCTCCAAAATATGAAAAAATATTGTGTATTCTATGTTTCAAATAACATATTATACTTATCAAAAAAGAACCTACATAATAGTTATAAATACATAATAGTTATAAATAAATATACATATTTTGTTGTTGAATAATTACAAATATAGTATGTTTAGTATACATAATATGTGCAATAATTTAGATGCTTCCACTAATTTTAGTGCTGCAAAGAATTAAGTAGTGGGTGCGACTTTTGGCTTCATATTCGATTTTCGAAAGTGGTGATAATTCGGAAGTACCTTCAGCAGAAAGTCCAGCTGTCCAATCTGAGGCTGTAGTATCCAAAAAAAAATAACAGAAATAATTACTAAATTAGTACTCAATCTTAGGATATCAAGTAATAATATGATAAATATTTACGTATGGTTTGTCGTTCATTTCCCTACGTTGGCATTCACTTCCATATACTATTGTATTCTCTGCTATAATTTCTGGTTCCATCAAAGAGCAAGCAGCTCCAATGACGCAACCATTAGTTAACTCGACTTCGCGAGCAACGTGTGCTTTAAAGAAAAGGAAATAGCATATTTGTGTCAAATAATGTGTATATATATATCATATAAGCTGCAATTAATTATATATACCTTTGATCTCCAAGATATTGTTGTCACCTACTTTAAATGCTTCACAGATACAATCAGTTTCAAAGACATTATAATTCCCTATTATCTGTACTGGTACTGTTGTGGGCTCAGGAGTATCAGGTAGCAATCTGTATATGTTGATGATGAACTAGCTATTGCATTATCAGCTTGATGGAAGATTTGAATATATTACACTTACCTATTAGTTATAGTTGCCATTTCTTCTATTATATTGCCCTCTCCGATAATAATCGGACCAGCTTCTGCTAAAATGCATGCTCTGGGGTGGATTATGGTCTTTGCACCAATGGTAATGTCACCTTTTAGAATACTTTCCTCGCATACTACTGCACCAGGTGCAATTTTTAAGCTGTAAGAATTAATTATAGATATATGATACGATCTTTTTATACAAAATCATGTTAATAAATTAATAATAGTAACATACAGTTACTAGCATATACTAAAATATTGTATTTAGTATATTTATATTAATCATTATATATGTTTCAATTATGGCCCTTGTATTAAAAAATATCGAACTGTCTTATCTGTTATTACTACAATATTACTACATATACTACAATATTATATATATTATTTTTATGTATGTGTAAATATGTATTATAAGCTTATTTATACTTAGACGTAACCTCAAAAACTCAACATAACCTCAAAATGTAGAATATCTGTCGTCGTACGATGAAAACAGAGAACTTAACTCATATAAGTAGTGTCGATCAACAATCACAAATTATATTTTTTATAACTATTATTAAACTTACTTAGCACGACGATAGGTCGAGGAATTAGTAGACGACATTTTCTCGTACGTGTTTTATGCCGCTTGATAGTTCCTTTACTCTCTCTCTCTCTCTCTCTCTCTCTCTGTCTCTTTCAGTATATAGCTACAAGTGATAGACGTCTACCTCAATATTAATACCAGAGAGAAGAATTCTTCTCTTTGGTAGCATCCTTCAGATTATTATTCTAATTATAAATATCACAATTATATGACGATTTTCTTTGCAATTTGCTTAAAATTTGATAAAATATCAATGTTAGTTTCGGGATCTTCGCGAGAAGTCTCTACCATAACTCCTGTAGATTCTTAATAACAGGTCGGCTAATAGGATTACTATAATATCTTCGGCCAATATAACAAGAAGAAGAAATAATCTCTTAATAGTATCCAAATAAAAATTAGTAGATTAAGTTTCAACCAATCAATACAGCAGACCTCACTATAGTTCTTTGTTGAAAAGTACGATCATTAGATGCTGTGTATATTTCGAAGCACTTAAAGAACAGCTATGATTGTCTATACGGCGCTTTAAAATATTTTTAGCAGAGAGAAGCATAATGGCTCCTGCATACAGAACGCCTTGCTGCGCAGCAAAAATTCGCGTGGCAGCCAATCAATATGCTGGTTTCTGTAATAACCTTCTAGTTCTTACGGAAAAACAACATATTGATTGGCTGTCGCGCGAACTTCCGCCGCGCGGCAAGCATTACCGCGTACTGTGTGCAGAAGCCATTAGAGCTGTTATCAGCCTGATTTCAATGGTCAGAGCTAGACGCTAGGTCAGGGTGCAAAATTCAGTACAGAGCCGGATTTGCAATCAAGAAATCTAAAATTTATAATAAATACAGACTCGTATATATACTTTGTCGAATATTTATTCAAAGAAGTTACTCAATTATTATTTCAATCGTTTATGAAAAATATGAAAAGAAAAATGCTGTGCACAACATTGTAGATCTTTTGATTACGAATATCACAATAACAAGAATGCTGTTCGTATTTTGTTCGAAAAACGAAAAATATTTATTTCGTTAGCTTTCGTGAGAGATCTCCATACAATTCCTCCTGTAGACCCTTAAATTGCTGTCAGAATAAAAGAATCGCAATCTTAATATTAAATAGTGGTATTTTACAGTTTATAAAACTAGAGAATAAAGATTAATTTGAAAATAAATTTTGTTCCACGTATGAACTAATTTATATACGTTAAAATCAACATTTAGGCATAACATAATTTTCGTATAAGTATCCTTTAATCAAGAAATATAAATAAGTTAAATTATCATTCTAATTATTAAATAATTTAAATTTTAAACATAATATATATATATATATATATATTGTAAAGCTGAATAAAATTATAAATAATCCCTGAAATACTTTTCCGTCGACTTATATGAACGAAGGAAGCATTTGAGCGATATGTATTAGAGTTTTACTATAAATAATCTTTAATTTTCAGTAGACTAAATATATAATTTTTTTATATGTTAAATCTTCTTTGTTGAAAATATTATATTATGCGTTAGAGTGTACATGTAGAGTATAAGTTAAGTAAAATGGCTACAATACGGCAAGGAAAAGTGAAAAAAAACTTACAGTGAGAACTTTTATATGATGCGCAAATACATTCCTTCCCTGTTTAATCTAATTTAGAGATGCGAGAGAAGGGAAATTTCGATTGCTTGTGCAATCGAGGGAATAATGTGTATGCACATGAGAAACACACGAGCACCTTCATTTAGATATTTAATATAACTCTATATTATATCCGTCAACTTTTATTTATTTTATATATATATATTTTTTATATATTATATATTATAAAATTTAACTCCAAATTGCGATAATAACGTCTAATTGCAACGTGCGTGCGCGTGTACGTGTTGCGCCTTATTGTATGTGTGTATGTGTAGCGCATCCTTGTGTATCTCGCGTGTAAGTCGTGTCCGTGTAAGTGTATGCACTTGTGTGTTTATGTGTGTACGTTTGTGTTTGTTGCTCTCGAGTAAAGGGGATAGAGATGTGAGCGAAGAAGGGTCGTAGATGGTATGCATTTTGCACTCGCGCGTAACGTGACTGTGTACGTGTTCGATCTACAGTTAAACGAATCCTACGCACTTACTCGTTAATCGGCAGAATAATATGCATTCTCTTAATTCTTTTTTTTTCGCTATAAGTATATGCAACCGTCCGAAAGCGTGTCAGTCGGCGCACCGTGACGGATTCGCCGTCGTTCTCGTCGATCTTCTCTCGATCGCGTTCGACTCTCTCGGATGCATATCGAGTCTATTTCCTGCAATAGCATACCGTTGCGCAGAAACCAATTCGCTTTAATCTCATTAATGACAGTGCAAAAACGAAATAATTTTTCTCCCTCTATCAATTAATTTTATCAATGGTAAACGCAATTGATTCGCGCGCTTCGAATGCGATCACGAATAATTATTCGGTGTTTCGCGCAGAAAGAACACGAATCATAATTATTGAGTATTAAAAATATTAGATATAATAATAATGTTGATAGTCCGTCGTGTCTCAGTATCGCGTTAATTCCACCTAAATAAGCTCTATATGAATTAGGTTAATAATTTATTAAATGATTTTACTTTATACAAAGCTGCAGAAATTGATGCAATTTTCAAGTAAACTCAAAATTAACGAAAACGTTATTGTCTCATTGAAATGTATACGAAGAAATTATCATGTAAGCATGTAATATAAAAATTATTTAAATCTCTACGAACAATGTAAAGCTGCCAGTTTCTATCATGTCTTGATATATTATTTTCTCATATGCAAACGAGCTTACCGTCTCAATAAGTAAAATGTTAGCAATGTATGTTGGCAAATTAGCAACGGATTCGATTAGAATACCTTGGTACATCCAAAGCTATTTATGTCCGCGTTAAGCTCATGTTTTATCAACAGAATCTGTTGACGTAACTTGACAGCAGATTGGCGCCAGAAACCGAGCAGAATCTATAGTGTGCTCCATTTAATGGAACTTAAATAGTTACGATACGACATATCCTGTTGGACTTCTGTCGTCAACCTGTTAACCTTCATACTCTACTGGTATGTCTTGTTGCTAACAAACTGTTAACGAAATTTACAGCAAACACTGTGCAAAGTCTATTTCTGCAGATTTGGCTATCTAGAATCTTGTCTAGCGTTGAATAAATCGATCAACGTTACAAATATAAATTTAACAAATAATAAACTCTAGAAATACTATTTAATGCAATCGAAGATACTATGAATGCAAAAAGTGCGCAATCACAAAACTATGGACAGAAATCCGTTCATTACGTTAAAATCGACCCAGTATATGCATCCGAGAATTATTTCTCGCAGGTTTAATCTTATCTTATCCTAAAAGAGATGTTCCATTTTTCGTAACAAGTAAATCACTTTGAAGTCAACAATAAACAAAAAAAAAAAACAATTATGCCCACTTGACTTAGTTGAGAGTTTTTATGGTAATTTTTGACATCTCAAATATTACTATCGGTATTTCAGTCAGTTGAATGTTAAAGCACAATGTGTTCCCTTCATCTACGCTGCAATTACTTCGGGACTTGTAAACCCGAGATTTAAGGAGTTTTCTATTTTCTTTCTTCAGAAATCGACGCGAGAATACGAGGTCGCGACAAGTGACGTAGCAAAAGCCCAAAAATCAAAACACTTGAAAGATCCAAAGTCGAAATATTTAAAAATTGGACAAAACAATAATTGAAAAGTCAAAAAGTCAAAAATTTCAAAAAGTTAAAAATTCACAAATCCGAAAGAAACAGAACGCTTATATTTCAAGTATAAAATAGAAAAAGGTATGAATATACTCAAGTATCAAAATTATGCTTTAAGTTTAAGATCAGTACTTCCTAATTGTCTGCCAAGTTTAACGGACATAAATAACGAAATGTCAACATTCTCTCTCTATCGAGATAACATATCGCACTGCATAAAAAAATTCAGATATCCTCAAGATTATACTAAATTATTATGCGTAAAGCTCATGGTAACGTTAAGGAGATAAACAATGATCTCATTTACCAGAGTTAATGCATACCTACTTGGGAAATACGAGTTATCGTTCGAGCTGCGTGTTTCGTTGTGTGTTCCAAAATATTGAATTAATAGTCAGTAATCGTAGTATCCAATATCGAAAACACCGAAAATATAAAAACATATAAATGGACAATAAATCGAGATATAGACAATTAATGACAATACATTGTTAACACTTTCGCGACCGCTGATATTCGATTGCAAATCTTATGCAGCTTCGACACTGATATTTAACCCATTAAAGATCACGATAATTAAATTTTCGTATCCCCGCTTTTCCATAGAACTATATTATGCAGGAAAGAAAGTATGAATGAGATGTGACTATTTTAACGAATGTATGTTACGATGACACGTAGATGGCAAGTTAAGAATCCGCATGAAAGATATCTCAGAATGCTTAGAGTAAAAAATTGTTACAATGAGAAGCTCTCGAGTCTCAAGGATGGTACGATAATGGGTTAAATGCGTGATAATTGTCCTGGAAGCCGTTACCCTAAACAGTATAAACTATTTTACTTACGTATATAACGTAAATGGGGCCGACGGACGCAGCGTAACTTACAAACAATAGCATACGCAAAAAAGAAAAGAAAGTGTCCGAAAGAGCTATGTGTGAAAAAAAAATTAGCTTTTATTCATTTATATTAGACTTTATAAATACAAACAAATAATAATAGCGCTGTGTAAGGTTTTCATAACGTCTTGCAATTAGAAACGGTCTGTCAGACCCCGGTTATACCGTTTAGGGTTTACATAATTAGCTGCAATATCCTGAATACGCCTTAAAACGAAGGTTCACTATACAACGAAACAAATAGTATTCGCACGTCGTCGCTATAAATAACAATTCAATTAGGGACGTCACGTTTTTTTTTACTTGTTTCTTGAAAATTTACAAAGAATACAAATATCGCGCGCGCACAATAAGTTGAGGATGTTTATAGCGAGAGAGCGCAAAGTTGCGCTCAAGTCGCGCGCAATCTCGTCCTCGTCACCTCAGTCTCGCTCCTTTTTAACGGCGCGTGACGCGTTATTTATAGCCAATGAGTGTCGGCGTACGAATACACTTTATTTTATTCCAGCCCTCTTAACAATATAACTTTATACTTAGACGCGAAGGCGTACGAATACTTTTTAATCGGCCCGGCACCCAACGACGCAATTCTCATCTAAAAATACGCGGACGGTCGCGAAAGTGTCTCGACGAACAACGACGAGCAGAAACCGTAAAACTGAAAATCCACCACACTATCTCATGCCTCGATCCTCGGACAGACGATCGACGACAGCGAAGAAAGCCGGTGACGGTGCGTATATAAACGCTTCGTGAGGATGTCTCAGCGCGCGACGACGGGCTGTTTTATCTCACTTTCTCTCTTGCTCTCGCTCTTTCATTCTTTCTCTCTCTCTTTCTTTTTTTCTTTTTTTATCCATATAAGAAGTACGGGTTTACGTATAAAGAGACGCGTCATACAAGTGCCGTACAGTACCAAAAACGTTTTTTTTTAATGCGCGCGCATAATGCGGTCGATTAGCTCTATCTACGCCTGCATCCGTGAAGTCGCATTCGCGCGTCGATTCATGTAACGTTTTTCCTTCCACTCTCACTTTCATGCCCTTTCTCGCTTCCTCTCTCTCTCTCTTTCCCTTTCTCTCTCTCTCTCACACACACACACACACACACATACACACACACTCTCTCTTTCTCTTTCTCACTCATTCACTCATTATTTTTTACTCTCCTTTCTCACTCTCTTTCATTCTTCCTTTTCACTCTCTTTCACACTTTCTCTTTCTCCGTTTGTTTCTGCCTGTACACGTATGTACGTGATGTCTGCATGTAAGTATGTATGTATGGATTTGTGAGCGTGTTACGTTGTGTCTGTTATCCGTGAGATCCGGCCGGGCTGGTCCACGGACGAGATATCTCGCTAACGCCGGTGCATCGTATTATATAATATGACGAGGACCGTCGAATCTCGATCGTCCCGCCGGAATATACTCTCATATATATAGTGTTTATATATTTATTTATTTATATGTTTATATATTTATTCATTTATTTATTTATATATGTATTTATGCTAAAGTAGCTCAGAGAACTATACTCGAATCACTACTCGAAGTCGCGGCGGCGGGGGAACACGCGTGACGCCGCCGACGAGGTCTCGGCGTTTCGGCCAAGTTGCAAGTGCGCCGCAGGGGATGCGTTTGCTCGCCCAATGTCCTCGCCTGAAGCTGAAGCGAATCCACGTTTATTGAGCGAACGAGCAGCAGGATTCACGCAGCGCCGGCTATTTAACGAACAAGCGCGTCCCCCGCGTCTCGCGGCTCGTATGAGCGACTGCAACGACGGTGAACGACAAGGGTGCCTCCGCCGAGCATCGATTTTTTTCCGTCGACCACCTCGTCGCGCTTTCAGCTTTAGCTTACTTTAGATACGTTACTTTCATCGTCTTTTTCTCCCCTTCTTGACCTACCTACGATTTACGCTTCCGTGATTATCGTCGTGTGTTCCTGAAATTTCCGCGTTACGTTTTCATCTCGTCGAACATCCGCTCCCCGCGATCGTCTTCATCTCGTCGCCGGCTTCCACGCGCGCGTTTAAATTATCATCGCGATAAATCGGATCGTCCACGAATCGGTATATACAAGTACAGGCGTACGGCGGCGAACGGTCGCGAAAGTAAGCGGAAAGGACGATCGAAATTCGGGAGCTTGAGGGGAGGAAACTGTCCGAGTCGCGGCGGGGACACCCTCATCGTCGTCGTCGTCGTCGCGCTCGGCCGCACGACTTCGACTTCGGCGCGGCTCCGCGGTTCCTCGCCGTCTGCAATAAGCTCTAACCCTTCGTCGACGTTATTCTCACAGGGTTCGCCCGCTCTCGTGAACTCCCTCGTGTTCGACGGTGCGATAATTATCGGTCACTATGTCGCGCGAGCGGCCCGATCGAGATTCTCTTCCCGCGCTGGGTACGCCAGTCCTCGATCGCGCTATTTATTTCGCGTCGTCCGCGGACCGTCCTAGCGGGACTCCACTTGATCACCATTCTCCTCTCGCCCTCTTCTCTCCCTCCACTATTTTCTTTTTTTAGTTAATACAATATATACTTTATGTATGTATCGTAACAACCGATATCTCTCGCTCTCTCTTTCTCTCTCTTTCTTCCTCTCTCGCTCTCTTTTTCTCTCTTTCATACTTTCTGAACATTTTCACTCACACACGTACATTCTCTTGCCACGCTCGTTCGTTCATTCGCACGCTCGCTCTTTCGCTCGCTCGCTCGCTCGTTTCGCACGCATTCGCGATTTTTCTCTGTCTATAATAATAGTATCTTATAACGATATACGCGTATGTGTATACACCTCTGCGTCGGTGAGACGTGTGTTACGCGCGCGTGCGTGCGTGCACGCGTCTGCATGTGTGTATATGTGTGTGTATACACATACGCATTCACACTATGTATATATTTATATTTATATTTCTTCTGTATATACTTTTATGTTGCTTTTTTTCTTTATGTATATTTTATATATAACAATGTTATGTTTATTTAAGGCCCAATACGTTCATTCATACGAAGGAAATAATCTGCAACAGAAAGGAGACGAACATACAGTTAAATAACGCTTGTACCTGGTTTGCTCCCTGTCGTAAGCACCGTGAATATAGAACTATTCAGTCGACAAGTTGTGTATATGCTGTTTTCCTGACGTTAACCATCGTCATTGTCATCATTATTATCATTATTATTATTATCGTTGTCGTCGTCGTCGTCATCGTCGTCGTCGTTGTCGTCGTCGTCATTGTCGTAGCAATAGTCGTAGTTGTGATGGATGCTCATGCGGACAATCGCGATACGCCGGACGCCAGTAGATGATCTACGCTTGCAATCGGACAAAGTGCTAATTTACATGCCAACTTGCGGCCAATCTCGCGATCTTATGTTCCCGTCACATTTTCTTCGAGTGAAACTAACAAACAACAAGCAACGAGTAGTAACTAAGGAATATGTATCTCTATATATGTATCTAGCATTTGTACATGTATTTGTTCTTCGTGTATCAGGTGTTGCGTGTGTATAATTATCTGAAAGCTTTTATCAGAGTTTCCACACGGGACAAGGGGTGATGTTAACTCGGAACTCGGTGGAAAGCGAGACAAAATTGAAATTGCGTCAAATTGCCACTTGTATCGTTAACTACTGCCGTTAACTTACTTATCGTTAGTGAAACATATTGATCGTTATGCACTTTCTTCGATTGGGCAGAAAAAGAAAGATAATATCATGATTACATCACCGAAATTACATTTCTCTGTAGTGTTATCCACCTCGTTCACCATCCAGCGAGGGAACTTGCAAAAAGTCAAAATCGCGAAATTTCTGCTGTGTAATTACGTTGCATAAATTTTCAAAAATGACTGTCAACAATCAGCGAGACCATATACCGGCGTTCTAATCAGCTCGATGCGTTGCTCTTCTTACGCGCGTGATTCTACCCCCGTATTAATTTTCCTACTTCCCTAGATTTACCTTAAGCGACGTTTCCTAGGAAGAATCACTCGACCGAGAACGGGCAACCGATAGGTTGTTTCTCGAAAAGAGGCGTTATTCTATACATTTTATCAAAGATAGTTCGTCGTGACGTATATTTGAGAGCCTACCGGACATGTAATTTGAAAGGTCAAACATTCCGATCCAAAAAGACGACACGCTAATATGCTCAACAACACCTCAATTCGTACAATATAACAACAGTAGTAAGATAAACGTTTAATATAATTTCGTCATGTATTGACGAGTATGAGAAATACAGAAATGTTCCAAAAAGGTAACACACATAGAGTAGCAAAAATTACTCGAAGAATCTCGATTAAGAGTTTTCTCTCGAAATATTCACAATTGTCGAAAATTTATCTTTTGTTCCAACTTAAATATTGTATATTGTATATTTTACGATATGTTTATTGTATATTTTACGATAAAATATACACGAATAAGATAAATAAAAAATAGGATTTTGTTATTCTTGTTTACAGATTTTATTTTATACAGATTATAACGAAATTTTAATAAAAAAATAAATAAATAAATAACTCCAAAAGCTTAGAATTTGTTAAATTAGATAGAATGTCGCTGTTAAGGCGACAATTTTTATCAATAAGAATTTCAAATAATGGATTTTCAAACTGGAGTCTACCACCGGCCATATGACTCTTTAGAACATTTTGTAATTTGAGATCCAATTATCGGTAGTGAAATTTTCACTCATGTCGACATCAGAAACAAACGTATGTATCTATGCGCATTACCGGCTATAAAATTATTACGCTCATTACGGACGAAACGCATCTTACGATACACTTAGGATGGGATCCACTTAGCGCTGCAAATACTTCGAAGCACCATGACCAATCACAATCGTTCATTACGCACCGCAAAGCGTTTGCAGCGTCAAGTGAATCCTAACCTTAAACACATATGAGGAGCTTAGCGCTTAAATTTAAAGTAAACGAAGAAGTGTTAATTAGATTAACAACGAAAAACAAACAAATAAGTTAGTGTGCTTTTACAGCACACTTGACAGCGAAATCAAATAAACCGCATACGCTATCCGGTAGGCTGATCGTTCGAAATGGGAGCCATTCACAGTAACTGCCGCTGAGTGAGAATCGGATTTTCGGATTAAAAAAAAAGTTTCTACTCCATACAAAATAGTTAGCGAATAACTCCTCTTCAACGTTCTGGCGAGATTGATAGAGTAGATTAGAGTAGAATCGATAAAAACATCAAAAAGAGCTTTCTGGAAACGATTTTTTATTAAAAATTCGATTCGGTCTCCCATTCGAAATCCCATTCATTCGCCGTATAGTTCGATTTCTCGTTCAAGACGTCCATTGGCGATATTGATTTTTCAACGTAAAAAATGTGTTGATTTAAAAAATTCAGAAAATGTAACGTTTTTGAACAAGAAGGATACAATAAAAAAAAACAGAAGAAAGAAATTTGATACGTAATTATAATTCTTACAAATTGTGAAAATCTGCTAGGAAAAAGAAGTCATATCTTTATCGTCTTTTCGAAGAATCGTAGAAACAAGGACGTTTCCGAAAGAGAAACAGGAGCGATTTGCTTTCGGATTAGGTTGTTGGTAACCGTATAAGCATGTATACAAAAGTTAATATTTTCTATCTCACCGCTTTTAACCCTTTTAGCGTTAGTACGAGTTGAACTCGTTCAAAATTACTCGCGGCAGTCACTTTATCAAAATTACCGTTATGTTACGATAATTGATAAATTATCGTAAATAATTAATAAATTATTGTTAATATCATATAATTTTTGTATCCAATTTTGTGTCAAATCTTCTTCTAAAGTTCTTGTAAACGATAATTCTGGATAATAAATATATAAGATTATCTTTAAAGGGTTAAAACTGGCATTTCGCGTTTACCGTTCGAACGTCGTGCTCGTCGCATGAATCAAGTATTGTAAAAAAATGTGTAAACACGTACACAATCGGGAGTTCGTTCATTTTCATTGTTCGTCTCAAGATTCGCTCATTCCTATTTTCATGCCATGTGTGTGTGTGTATTATATGTGCAAATAATGAAAAAATGTATGTACAATATAACGATGCAGAACTCCCGAATGTTACGTCGGTACTCGGATAAGCGATTTTGTAAATGGCGATGTCAGACAGCCGGCCATTCATGGCCTTGATAGAAACTACATCGACGGATCAAAGCTATATCAACTCTTTTTCTACAAGTCATCTACACAATCACGTATATCGAACGTAAATTCTTCTTAATACTTGCGTATCACGCTAAAAGAAACGATTGAAAACGTTAACAACTGCCAAAGAGTATCTAAATGTTACTTTGTGCACATCGTAGTCTCTGTTAATTGCCTATAGATCAAAGTGACTTTCATTTAACCATTCTCTTGTGTCCCTACTTACTGTGCAGCAACATTTTACACGCGATTCGATTTAAACGAATTCAATTCTCAGAGAATAAAGAACACTACACACGTCTCGATATCTCAATGAAAGATCGTGAAGTTATTACACCTATTCAGGAGCTCGACGGGACAAAATCGCTGGAGGCGAAGTATCTGAGCCAAAATATCTTTTACTTACGCAAAGCGACAGAACGTTATAAATCCTACAATCCACATGCATGAGCCGACATCGTCGTTTGTCGCCTTTCCGAACGGTCTCGCTCGACATAAATCGCCTTAAAAGTACTCGCGTGGGAATCGCAAGTCTCCGATCGTCCCCGCGGACTCGTGGTCGAAATGGGCTAAACGTGAACTAAGAAGCGACTGCCGTGATTCGCGTTGCCTCTGCTCGTTGACGGCACCGGCAACAACCTCGTCCGATCGCTTCGCGACGAGAGAGATCGGGTCTCTCCAACGCATACGGCCGATCGATCGATCGATCGGCCTCGTCGTGTCACGCTCGCCCGCCCCCTTCGTCATCGAGATCGTTCTCGCCCGCGAGCTCGCCGGCTCGCGGATTCTTCCTAGGAAGCATCGCGTTACACTTCCACTTGCCCGGGCCGCGAAATTCATCTCTTTCTTTTTTTTTTCTTTCTTTCTCTCTCTTTCTCTTTTTTCTTCCGGGACGGTCGGACTCACCTTGACCGAGCAAGGTCCGCGACGCTACTCGCGTTCCTGTCCGCTCGGCAGCGCCGGGACGACGCTCCGCGCCGCGTCGCTCGTTCAGCTGTCGACGCTGAAGAGCTCTTTGTGGAGGGCCGGGAACTCGAGGTGCGGCTGCGACCGTTTGAACTTCGCCAGCGCGTCCATGTGTAGCAGCGAGATCTCCCGCAGCTGCGGTATCTTCGCGAGGATCGCGTCGCACACGGTCACGTCGCCCTTGATCGGCGTCACATGGTTCCGATCGAGCTCCGACCTCAGCGCCCTGATCACCGCTTGCGACAGCCTCGTGATCTCCGCCAGGCCCTTCAGTCCCGGTCGATCTGTGGATCGTTACGCAAGATGCCGTGTAAAGTCAGTGAACCCGTAGCGCGCCGCTTGCGTAATATCGCAGGGAGAATAAGAATATGAGATAACGCCACTTTGTTGATGTGCGATCTCTCGAACAACGGCCACATGTAGAGCTCGACTTCGAATTTCACTTCACCGACTACATCTGTTACGTTGTATCGCGAGAGTGATATATGATTTTATTAGTGCAAATTTAGACATTCTTCGTATTTAATCATTGATTACATAAATGATAATTAACTATATCCACATAATTACATAGTTTATATCACCTCAAATGCGTTACTTTTTAATGACAGCTTTTTTGGCTAATTTAAAGTTGAATTGCTTTGCCCTAAGAAAAATATCAAGACACCCCAAATTATAAAGAGGTTGCTTGTGTAAGACAAAATAAGTTTATTTTGAAAATTCATTGAAACTTGCACTATATTTAAATTGAAATATTATCTGACTGCTCGTGCAATTAGAAAAAGATTGGACCATTTGAAAATTGAGATGTTTGAAACTAAAGTTGACACTTTCATATGTGTTCCTTAGAGTTGAGGTGCTATTTTAAATTCCTGCTATTTTTAATTTCTTGTAAGCTGAAAGTTAGGGTTTTGTTATTAAAGACTAATAAAAACTAATATATCGGGCATTATACACAAATCTCAGAATTATTGACTGTTTTGTTTGCAAAATACAGTGGTGAAAAATTAACAATTTATAATGTAATATTGTGTATATCCACTCAACTTTGTTTTAAATTAACATTTACGACTTAGATAATAAAAGAAATGTATAGAAACGTAATTTTGTTCGATAAATAGTAAGTTTATAAGTAGTGCCCGTGATATGCCACTGAAAACACGACACTGAGCATTATAACTTTCTTATAAGCGATTGAAAAAGAGAACTTTGTATGTCAGATCTCAGGGAATCAAATGAACATCAAAATGACATTTATCTCATATGAAGTCGAGTTTGCTCTAATAAAATGTCAATTTGAGACTCGGTTATAACGATAAAGAATATAAAAAATTGAACGATTACGAGAAATAATCATCTCCCTTGACGTTTTTGCCAAGGAAAAACTGTTCCAAATTGTATTGAGGAATTTACTATTGCAAAATAACGCGGTAAAACTGGAACACCTACTATAGGTATAGTAGATTGGATTTTATGTTTCCAAAAGTTTCATGTGTTTTAGAAAAAAAAAAAGAAAAAAAAAAACGTTGAAGTCACATCAAGTCTGCTCGCAAGATACATTAGTAAGTACTTAAGCGCGACCGTCGGATCGAATATCGAGCATAAAGCTTTCAAGCGCGAGATACCGTTGCGTTTCTTGATTATAATTTTAGAAAGATAACAATTTTAGATCTATCCAGCGGGGATAGGGACACCCTCGTAGTATGTGCGTAGTGTCACTCACCAGGGCTAAGTAGAACAGCCGCGCTATAGAGCGCCAACTCGGTTTCGGTGAGCTTCAGTTCGGCCACACTTCGGGCCAGCTCGAACACGCAGGAAACAAGCTTCATTTCCGCTGTATCCGTCGTGTAAAACGCATCCTGCGGCAGCAGGGCGTCGCCGTACAGGACGAAGTTCTGCTGGAGATCTAGGTACCTGCTCATTCGTAGCACAGCCAACTCGAAGGAACCTGTCACATTTTAATACAACATCAGCATACTCCGGCACACAGCGAGCAACGTCTTCTTCTTCTTCTTCGTCTTTGCTTATATAGTCCCATTGAAAGACCGAGACGGAAGCGTTATCTTCGCTAGACGAACGAAACGAGACAACAACGCGTTCACTATCGCAACTACGGTGTTATTCATTAATTGGTCAACGCTATGAAAAACCAGATCAATGAACTTTTCAAGAAACTTTTAGTGCTTAATTAATTTTTAGACGAGACGTAAGAAAATGATATATTGAAGCAGGACGGAGAAGAACACTGATCCGCGTTAAAAAAAAATAGGTCATTTTCGATTTTTTGTTAACCTTCTACGTATATTTTTTTGAGGCACACATACAACTTAGGTCTCTCAGATTTGGTAACTGTCATGTTGTTGAATATCAATATTTTTGGACGTATTTTTTCCAGAGATATAGAATAGCCTCAGCTATAAGATAATAGCGCAATAAAATCAAAATCGGCAAACAGATTTGTACAATTTTGAAATAAATGAAAAAAGATTTCTTGTGAAATGAGAAGTTTTTTTTTTAATAAAATCAAGGAATTCTTTTTAAATTAAAATATTTAGATAAAATTAAACGGGTACTAAGAACACATAAAAATTACTAAGAATACTTAAAATTTCTTAACAAAACATTAGTATTATAAAATTTTAATATTTATTACTTTTTGCAAAATATTTTATGGGACTATTTTCAATATCTATTTCTTTTATCAAGTTTGACATTTCGTCAAGTTCTAACATTTTTGTTTATATTATAACTGCGCTAAAAATAGGTTTATGTGAGATTTTTGTTTTAAATATATGTAGAAATTTTAATTTTCTTTTATTATTTTATGAGACTAGATTGGTTCTTCCTGCAAATACAGATCGCGAACACAGCTCAAACTCACTAGTTTTTAAGCAATATAAAAAAAATGTTTAATTTATCATCAAGAAGTTAGAAATATATATAAAAATTTATATCTGTACTTGAAACATAATAAAAAAATATGTGGCATATAATCTTACGTCTGAGAGACCTAAAAAAAATTTCAGGTGTATATTGCTCAGTTATGTCAAAGTTATTAAAGGTCAAACTGCGCTCTTCTATGTATTTTAGAGTCTCTAAAGTTTTTTTTTTCATGTAAATGGGGGGTGCTACTTCCCAGAAACTTCATGAAAGTTCGTGAGAGATCGAATATTCATTCGGGTCTAACAGACCCGGTACTGTACGTGAACAGTTAACCCTCAACACACACACACATATACACACATAGCGCATCGCAGTATTAATTAAATGAAAGGGTTAATTTTTATATTTTACTTACAAAAACATTAGTATACTTTATAGAGATATTTTTGAAAGAATAGAATCAAAATTATAAAATATCAGCATTTTTTAGATTTTTTATAATTAAAATTACTCTTATAGAACATTTTAGATAGAGAAACTCAGAAACTAAAATTGAGCCTGATAGATTCTAATGGTACGCAAAAGATTAAACAAGTCATATAATAGTACAGTTATACTTACCTATTACCACTTAAAGATCAAAAACAGAATAATTAATCTAATAATTAATGTGCGGAGATTAACGTTCTTACGGGGAAACTTTTCGAAGCATTTCGAAATGCACATGTAAAAGAACGATAAAACTCCACTAGCGATTATTCAAGTATGAGATACGTACCAGCCTTTAATAAAACGATCTGGTCGTCCTGCGAGAGCTTCATGAATCCGGGGACCATTTTTGCGAACTCGATGATCTGCTGGATGACGGTGGTCAGCTTCTGGGCGCACTCTAGCCAGAGCTGCTCGTGCGCCATGTTCTTGTAGTAGATCAATCTGGAGAGGTCTTGGGGCTTCCGGAAGGACTCTTGGATCTGTTCCGTCGACACCAGGCACGTCCTTGCATGCGCGTCCGCTATCGTCTTCGAGAGAAGCTCGCTGATCTGTGCTGGATCTGCGAAGTTCCACAGCGGATTTCCCGCTCGTAACTCGCTCACTCAACACGCGACGCGTTCTTATTCAAGAAATAGAGAGGAAGAGAAAGAGAGAGAGAGAGAGAAAAATCGGCAAAATGAGGTAGGATTTATTCAGCCAGCCAAGATCTTGAGTAGATTTCAAGCGTGACGAGAGAGGGCGCAGTATAAGCGTGCTGTTCGTATTTACTCCTTGCGCGAATTATTTTTGTATAATCGTCGTGCAGGTTATTTCACGTAATTACTAGACAAATTACCTCCTTACGCTTATCGTACCAATAATTTTTGGTCTTCTTTTTCGCAAAAGGATATTCGGCGCAAGATCGCAAATGGGATTTATACTTTGTATGACCATGCGAAATCATGCAAAAATCAGCAAAATTGTTCGATACAAAATTTCCATAATAAGAAACGGAGTCTGCGAATTCGTTCGTAGAGATAGAAATGTACACATGCGCGAAGACACCGAAGATTCATGAATGCGAAATTTGTACAGTCTCACCTGGAGCTAGTGCGATTGTAAAAAGCACGCGACGAATTTAAAGCGTGAAAGAATATATATATATATATATATATATATATATATATATATATATATATATATATATATA